ATGGTGGTGTGTGTATATATACCAACAACTATTATTAGTGGTTATGAGGGGTGGGAAGGAGGGGAAAGGGGGAATTTTTGCTTAGAGAGCAGCAAGTGTATGAAAATACTTAAAGGTTCACCTAGGGTCAGAAAAAAGTGATTTCCACATTGCCATGGTGTTCAAGGTGGCGGGATGATTTAGAAATAATGAGAATAAATGTAAACAGAAAGAATGTGCTCAATGTCACTAAATTATTCATGTAGAAAGTATTGAATTGGCAAAAAGGAAGAAGGAAGGGAGGGTGGGAGAGAGGAAAGGAGACAGCAGGTACACACCTGAGAGTCCTCCCATGGATAGCTCCCTCCCCAAGTAGACTTGAGGGCAACTACGCTTATTGGATTCCTGGTGTGGACCTGTAGGATCAGCACTGGACTGAGAACCACAAGGTCAGCAGTTCAAACCCACCAGCTGTCCTTGGAAACCCTATACAGGGACACTATGAGTCAGAACCGACTCATTGGCACTTAACAACAACACTTATTGGCACATGCATGTGAAACTAATAGAATTGATGTATTTCAATTATGGAATTGGAGGAGAATATTAAAAGTACCATGGACTGCCAGAACAAACAAATCTGTGTTGGAAGAAGGACAGCCAGAATGCTCCTTAGAAGCCAGGATGCAGAGACTTGGCTCTCATATTTCAGACATTTTATTAGAAGGGACCTGGTGTAGTGCTGTGGGTTAATGCGTCAAACTGCAAAGTCATTTGAACTGCAAGGTCGGTGGTTCAAGTTCACCAGCTGCTCCTTGGAAACCCTATACAGGATCTCTATGGATTGGAATAGACTCCACAGCACTTAACAACAACAGCAATGCTTGTAAAGTGGAAGGTCCTTGGAAAAGAAGAAGACCCTCAACAGGATGGATTGACACACTGACAGCATAACAGGCTCAAACATAACAACAGTTGTGAAGATGTCACAGGACTGAGCAGTGTTTGTTCTGTGGTGCATCTGGTCATTTTGATGGCGCCTAACAATAACAGCAGAGCCTCTCACTGAGTTAGGATCTGGTTTCAGGATGAGTGACTTCTGAATAAATGAAATGTTATTTTATCCATTCATTGTAGTGTTGTTAGATGCCGTCATGTTGGTTCTGAGTCATAGCGACCCTATGAACCACAGAACAAAACACTGCCAGTCTGCACTGCCTTAAAATTGTTACGTAAGAGCCCATTGGTTGCAACCACTGTGTCAGTCCATCTCATTGGAGGTCTTTCTCTCTCTTGATGATCCCCCACTTTACCAAACATGATGTCCTTCTCTAGGGACTGGTCCCTTCTGCCAACATGTCCAAAGTACAAGGCACGAAGTCTCACCATACGGGTTCCTAAGGTACATTCTGGCTGTACTTCTTCCAACACATATTTGTTTACTCTTCTGGCAGTCTGTGATACTTTCTATAAGAAAATGAAATTAGCTTCCCAATTTTATAGAGAATATGGAACCAGAATATTCAGAGAAGAAATGAAATACTGATGATAGCTTTGTCTATTCTATGTCTACCTTGTGGGTTTTAGTATATATCATCTTTATTTTATTTCATTGTTTTTGTCACAACCATGGAACCCTGATGTGGTGCTGTGGGTTAATGCTCTGGACAACAAAAGTCAATTTGAACTGCAAGGTCGGTGGTTGGTTCAAGCTCACTAGCTGCTGCTAGGAAACCCTATACCAGGTCACTATGGGTCAGAACCGGCTTGATGGCACTTAACAACAACAAGAAGTCACAATTATAACTGCATGTTTAAACTGAAACCAACAAAAATTGCTCAGCTTGGGAGGATAGCTTATCCGTTTATTGGGAAACCACCAGCCACCCAGGTATTTTAATTGATGGAATTAAAAAATATATGCTATCTAAACATCCAAGACTGGTACCACCTGACAAGTTTGGATCTGTTTATGGCCTGTCATAGCAGATTGAAAGGCAAACAAATGGGGTTATGTGCATGAGAAACAGCATAATGGGGTAGACTGCACAGATGGTCTATGGGGACTTCTGTGACCCAGGCCTTCAGAGGTGGGAGGAAGCTGAGACCAGTGTGAGGGTATGGGCTGTGTCTAGAGGGGTGGGAACAGCCAGCTGATCTGCAGCATCTAGTAGGAGAGAGGACAAAATATGATCACCCACTTGATAGATGAAGGGGAAGGCAGTGGTGAGTGGTTGTATCCTCACCTTCTATGTGGGAGACCAGGTTTGACTTGAAGGCAATTTACCTCAAGTACAAACATACTCATCTGTCAGGGGAGGCTTGTGCATTTCCATGATTCTAAACAGGTTCCAGGGGAGCTTCCCAATTAAAATGGACCAGGAAGAAAGGCCAAGGATCTGTTTTCAACAATCAACCCATGGAAACCCTGTGGGTCAACACTGTCTGGTTTACAACAGACCACGGGATGTGCAGGATGAGGCAGCATTTCGGTCCACTGTGGATGGGCTCACCAGGTGTCACAGGCCAATCAATGACAGCTACCACAATAGGTGAAGATCCTGAGACTGAAAGTTTAAGAGACTTGCTCTGTGCCACCTAACAATGATGGAGGAAGACCAAACTCCAATCTTCTAATTCTGTATCCTGAAATCCCAAAAAGTAGAAAAACTGTGAGGGGTCATTGACTGAACTTCATTGTCAAATTGTGGGTGTGAACTGTTTGTGCCAGAAAGTTTCTGGGAGCAGGGTGGATCCCGACCCTGCTCCTGACTCATCCTTCTCCTAGCTCCTGGCAGGTTACTCAACCATTTTGCATCCCAGTTGTCTGGCAAACCCACTGCTGAGCATGTCCTCTCGTCTCCTTGAGTGACATGTCTTAACTTCTCCACTCCTAGGCATTGGGAAATAACCCACATATATGCATCAATTAACTCTAAATAAAAGAAGTTTCTATTTTTAACCCAAGCAGCCCATCCCACTCACCTGTGAGGTTGAACCTGTTCCACATTCTATTCCATGCTCTATTTTCTGTCTTTTACCTGAACAGCCTCAGGGATTTTGGAGTTTTCTCCTTTATTGCCTGTTTTCAGATAATATCTTTAGCCAACTATTTTAAAATTTCCTAAAAGTTAGTCATTGAATTTATTGTTGTTAAGTACTGTGGAGTTGGTTCCAACTCATAGTGACCCTGCACAGGGTTTCCAAGGCTGCAAATCTTTACGGGAGCAGAAAGCCTCTTCTGTCTCCTGCGGAACAGCTGGTAGTTTTGAACCGCTGACCTTGAGGTTAGCAGCCCGATTCATAACCACTACACTACCAGAGCTTCTTAGGAGAGGAAAATACTTAAAAATCACCTTGGTTCATGAGAGGAGATAGGGATAAGACTCTTGTGGTACAAGAGTGAATAGTTGCTATCAAGAGTGACTGTGAGGTTCGGAAATGTAAAAGTAGGTGTTTTGTAACAAAAGGAGGGGAGTGATTGATTTTGCAGTCCAGGAGCAGAGGTCCCTGGGACCATCAAGTGAGAAGAGCGGAGTGCGGGACCCTACCCAAAGAAGCAGTGACATCAGAAATGGAGGGAGAGATGATGACTGGACAGATGGAGCATCTGGGGACTTTGGACTCCGGGAGGGAGAGGGGCTGTGTGCTGATGGCCAGGGGCAGGCCTGTGGGGTGTACTCTTTGGTTGTTTGATGATGCATGGAGGGGATTGTAATGATTGCAATGAAATGAAATACAATAGGATGAATGTAAAACTGATGTTCTCCCATGTAAACCCACATAATTCACAATAAAAACTCGAAGAAAAAAAAAGTGCATATAAAAGACAAAAACAAAAACAAAAAATCACGTAGGTTCAGAAAGAAAAAACGACTTCCACAATGTCATTACAGCTGTGAAACGGGCAAGACCAGAGCTCAGGACTCCTGACTACTTAGCCTGGGTATTGTTTTTCTTGTTTGAATATTTGAGTCTGTTAGAATGCTTTGGGCTGCAAGTAACAGATCACACCACTGGAGATATCGAGGTAAGGTGGGCTCCAAGATTCAGCTTAATCAGTGGCTTTAGCTTCAGTTTCTCTGAAATTCCCTCGGATATACCTTCTTTCTGTTCTGGCTTTATCCTGCCCTCCTGGGACAAATTGGTTGTATGGAAGGAGGTTTACTAGAGACCTGGGTTTCCCTGGAATGGGTACCTACCACTAATGTTGTTGTTGTTGTTAAGTGCCATTGAGTCAGTTCCAACTCATTGCAACCCTGTGTAAGGTTTCAGAGGAACAGCTGGTAAATTTGAACCGTCAACCTTGTGGTTCAAACTAACCTTGCGTTCCAGTGCTTATCCTACAGCACTACACCAGGACTCTCCACTGGTAGGTCATGTGATCTTAGACAAATGGCTGAATTTCTGCAACTTAGTCAGAATTCTTTTGGCTATAAGTAAACAGACACAACTGAAACTAGCCAACTGTCAAAGGAGACTTTATTGGTTCATATAACTTGGACAAATGAAGGAGAATGACTTCTGGTATATCTGGATCCAGAGACTCCACAGTGTCATCAGATAGGTCTCTCTGCTTCTCCTTTTCCATCTCTCTCTATCTCAGGTCTCAGGATTATGTCAGTAAATCAGTCACCAAGAACTAAGAGAGCTTTGCATTCTCGGGAAAGGAAAGGAAATCATTTGATCTCATGGAGTAGAGAGAAAGTTCCTCAAAAGAACTGAGGTATTGTTACCACAAGAAAGGGACGTACACAAACAAGAGCTGTTTTCTATAATGTGGCCTCTCATTTATGAAATAGGGACAACCCCCTCTCATCCCCAGGGTGATTCTATAAGTAAAGTGCTATGTGTATGTCAAAGACCTTCTAAACCACTATGCACAGCACACACTGGTCATTGGAATATTTCTTCCAACGGGTCCTCCTTGTGAATAAGATTGAGACAATTAAGTTCTTTGTGTTTATTGGTTGGTTTTCTAACTTCTAGTCTACTTCTCAACAGGACAATCTCCAAGGAGAATGAAGCCCGTGGTGGGCCTGGGTCTGCTTCTGGCTGGTCTCTTGACTGTGAAAGGTCTTTCGCAGCACAACCTCTCTACGAATAGTCATGTGACTGCGAGCCAGGTTCGAGCATGGAAAGAAAGACGGGCAGCCCAGGAGCTTGCAAGGCACAACACAGATTTTGGCTTCAAGTTTTTCAAGAAGCTGGCCGCTAGCAGCCCTGACAAGAACATCTTGTTTTCCCCCTTAAGCATCTCCATGGCCTTCTCCATGCTGTCTTTAGGTGCTCAGGACTCCACTCTCGAGGAGATTAAGGAGGGCTTCAATTTCAAGGAGCTATCGAAGAAGGATCTTCATGAGGGCTTCCATTACCTCCTTCAGAGGCTGAACCAGCGGAGCCAGGATGTCAGGTTGGACCTCGGTAACATGCTGTTCATGGACCAAAGGCTACAACCATATCAGAAATTTCTGAGAGATGTTAAGGATCTGTACAATGCAGACATCATTCCCGCTGACTTCCGGCATTTAGAAGCTACTCAGAAGCAGATCAATGACTACGTTAGTCAGAAAACCCATGGGAAAATTAGCAACCTGATCAAGAATATAGATCCCGGCACTTTAATGTTTCTTATAAACTGTATTTACTTTCGAGGTAAGACTTGGGACATGTTGGCATGAAGGATGACTGAGAGATTAAAATGCTGGGTTGGCCTCTTGCTTGCTCTGTGACCTTGAACTCATTCTGTGATTAATCTCTCAGAACTCTATTTTTGTTATCTATTAGATGAGGGTCGTGATATATAGTTCATAGGCCAGTTATTTGGATTCTTTTCATGTAATGAGCTTTGTGAAGTCTTAATAATCAATCCATTAATACTGTTATCTTAACACAATATTGACTGTAGAGATTGAGGTGATATTCAGTGAGATATTATTTGACTTACTCCAAGTTACACAGCTAATAAGAGTCAAGATTAAACACAGTTCTCTTGGCTCAAGGGCTAAGCAGTTTCCACCTCTCCAAGTAAACCCCTAGAATGCTGATGGCTGTGGTGTCGGTGACGGTGGTGATGATCATTGTGGTGGGAAACTTGGTCGGTTTATCAGATTTTGCAGTTCCCCAAATCTGAGTTTGAGAGATTGAAAATAAAATGAAGACACGTTCCAGAATCTAAGCTTCATCCTCCACTACCGTACTCATATACACATACATACACATGTAGGTGAGAATCAGAGGCCAATACCTTTCATTTCAGGCAACACCACTGCTGAGCGGTCAGCAACATGGTCCTGAATCAGAAAGCTCAGTTACCTTCAAATGCAGAAGGATACTGATGGCTAGAAAGGAAAAAGGGAGTGATGATTGCAGATTGATAGTCCATTCTACTCAAGCCAGAAAAGGAGACAAGAGAATCTGGAATTTCCCAGAATTCCTTCATCCCTTAGACCACAGGTAGGAGCAAGAACAACAATGACAACGCTGATGACTATCACCCACTGAATACTCTCTATACAGTCACTGAGCTGGGCTGCCTTAGTCTACTCAGTCTCACAGTAACCCTATAAAGTTGTTGTTGTTGTTAAGTACTGTTGAGACCGTTTCAACTCATTGTGACCCTATGTAGGATTTCCAAGGAGCTGCTGATGAGTTTGAACCACCAACCTTGAGATTACATCCAGTACTTACCCTACAGAGCCACACCCATCTGTAGATATGGAGACTGGGGTTCAGGGACTTTGAGACACTTGTTTGAGATCATACTTTTATAACAGTGAAGCCAGGATTTGAATGCAGGCAGTTGGCCCCAGTACTGTATAAGGGTACAGAGTATAAGGTTGAAGGCTAAGTACTCACCACTTTTCCTTTGGTTCTCAGGATTTATACGCACTGCCAGTGAAAAATCTCAGGCTCCTGTATCCACTTCTTTGCTCTCAACCAGAGGGATTGGGAGCAGGTGTGAGAATCTCTCCCTACTACACAGGATACTTTGATGCCATCCCTTTGGTTATATTGTCTTGACTCTGAGGGCCCTTTTGCCATATGTTTATGATATTAAACTATTAAATGACAAGTTCCTCAAGAGCAATGTTTTCTGAACTGAGAACATGTCTTCCAGAATGGGTCCTTTTAAACCCTTTAATTTATCACCCACTTTTATATGAAAATACAGTTAAGATGCTTAAAAAATATTGGAGTTAGTTGCTTTCTGTGCAAATTTCACAACTAAATTGGATCACTTTTTCGTTAGGCTTGCTGCTCTGTTTCCATCTGTTTGTGTCTCTATCACACTTTACCAACCTCTGCCATAAACTCTGCCTCCACAGATTTTCTTTTGTGGCCATTATGTAGACAAAATCCAATTTATCCTCATCCAATTTTCTAATATAAGTTTTGTCATGCCTAATATTTGAGAACCTCTGTGGTCAAGGTGGAGTCCTGGTGTGGCGCTGTGGGTTAATGCGCCAGACTGCAAAGCCATTTGAACTGCAAGTTCGGCAGTTCAAGCTCACCAGCTGCTTCTTGGAAACTCTGTACAGAGTCGCTATGGATCGGAATTGACTCGACGGCACTAACAACAACAACAGATATTTAAGCAAACTCACTGTGCTCATGTTCAGTCTTCATTGTTTCTAGGTTTATTTTGTTCCAGTACTAAGTCCATCTTTTGACAAGTCAGTTCTTATGGACCTTCATGTCACCAAGACTCACATTGTTGAGTTTTACTTGGTGTTGATTATATCTACTAATAATAATATTCATTGGGAGTTTGACGCGAGTCTGGTCTCTTGTATCCATTTCTTTCAGTAAAACTCATCATCAGAGCAAAGACCCAGGTCTGAGATTATGCTCAATAGAGTCAATGTGTCCTCAGGTCGAAATGAAGGACCCAGGTGCCCAGGTCTGGGTGTTCACTGCTCCTCAGCAGGCTCCCAAGGGAAATCAACTCCTTTAGTTTTCTCAAACCCACAAGAGAATGTCTCATGGCTTAGAGCAAAGTGGAATATTTTCACTCAGGCCAGACCCAAATAGTCCCTATTGAACATAACCCAGTTCCCTCTACATAGTCCGAAGGCCTTCTCAGCTTCAGGGTCACCCAGGCATAGGGAGTCTGCAACTTACATCTAACATTCATTTCAGTCCTAGCTTCCCTGGGAACTGATAAGCAGGTCCTGAGTCCCCCTCCTCTGGAGTCTTCAGAGCATGGAATGGGGATGGGACTCCTAGAGACCTGCTCTGATATCCCAAAGTCAACGAATCCAAAGGCCAGTGGTTTTCTTGGTCCAATCACTGCTTGCCCCTTTCAATATTCATGTTCACTTTGTTCTTCTTCAATCCTAAGCCAGGTGGAAACATGAGTTTGATCCAAAACTAACCAAAGAAGAAGACTTTATGCTGGACCAAAACAAGTCCGTGAAAGTGCCCCTGATGTTTCACGGAGGCATGTACCATGTTGGTGAAGACGAACAGCTCTCCTGCACCGTCCTGGAAATGCCCTACCATGAAAACATCACAGCCATCTTCATCCTTCCAGATGAGGGCAAACTAGAGACAGTGGAGAAGGGCCTTACAACAAAAGCAATGGCAAGATGGAAGAATGGATCCACGTACAGGTAAAGAGGATGTTGATGCTATCAGCTTCTTCCTTCTTACCCCGGTTTTCCCTCTATTTTCTTTACTTCTTCCATCACAGATGTATTGAGCAATTTTCCTATGGCTGGGCCCTAATCTAGACTCTATGATGAACTTAGATTTGGGTGGAGAGTAGATAGGAATCACATAAATATAGCGGAATTCCTGTTCTTATAAGGTTGTTGTTATTGTTATGTGCCTTTGAATCAGTTCTGACTCATAACAACCTTATTATACAACAGAATGAAACACTGCCCTGTCCGGCACCATCTTCACAATGAGCTCATTGCTGCTGCCACTGTGTCAATCCATCTTGCTGGGGATCTTCGTGTTTTTCACTAGACCCTCCACTTTATCAAACATGGTGTCCTTCTCCAGGGTCTGGTCCCTCCTGATATATGTCCAAAGTATGAGAGATGAAGTTTCACCGTCCTGGATTCTAAGGAACATTCTGGATGTACTCCCAACACAGATTTATTTGTTTTTCTGGCAGTCCATGTTACTTTTAATATTCTCCTCCAATATCACAACTCAAATGCATTAATTATTCTACAGTCTTCCTTATTCATTGTTCAACTTTTAAATGCACATGAAGCGATTGAAAATACCACTGCTTGGGTAAGACACACCTTTGTCCTCAAACTGACATCTTTGCTCTTGTACACTTTAAAGAGGTCTTGTGCAGTAGCTTTCCTAATGTAATATGTTGTTTGATTTCTTGACTGCTGCTTCCATGAGTGTTGTAGTAAATCCAAGCAGAATGAAGTCATTGACAACTTCAATCTTTTCTCCATTTATCATGATGTTATTTATTGGTTCAGTGGTGAGGATTTTTGTTTTCTTTACATTGAAGTGCAATCCATACTGAATGCTATGGTCTTTGATCATCATCAATAAGTATTTTAAGTCCTCTTCACTTTCAGTAAGCAAGGTTGCATCATCTGCATAGCACAGGTTGTTAATGAGTCTTCCTCCAATCCTGATGCCATGTTGTTCTTCATATAATACAACTTCTCAGATTACTTGCTCAGCGTACAAACTGAATAAGTATGGTGAAAGACTATAACCCTGGCGCACACCGTTCTTGATTTTAAACGATTCAGTATCCCCTTATTCTGTTTGAATGGCTGCCTCTTGGTCTATGTACAGGTTCCTCATAAGCACAAATACGTGTTCTGGAATACTCATACTCTGCAATGTTGTTCATGATCCACATAGACGAAAGCCTTTGCATAGTCAGCAAAAGCACAGGCAAACATCTTTATGGTATTATCTGCTTTTAGCTAAGAGCCATCTGATGTCAGCAATGATTGTCCCTCATTCCATGTCCTTGTCTGAATCTGGCTTGAACTTCTAGAAGTTCCCTGACAATATGCAGGGAACTTAAAAATTATATTTAGCAAAATTTTACTTGCACGTGATATTAATGAGATTGTACAATGATTTCCACATTCTGTTGGGTCACTTCCCTTTGAAATGGGCACAAATATGGATCTCTTCCAATCAGTTGGCCAGGTAGCTGTCTTCCAAATTTCTTGGCATAGATGAGGGAGTGCCTCCAGTGCCACATCAGTTTGTTGAAAGATTTCAATGTGTGTTCCATCAATTCTGATGGCTTTGTTCTTTGCAATACTTTAAGTACACCTTGGACTTCTTCCTTCAGTTCCATTTCGTTCTTGATCATATGCTACCTCTTAAAACTATTGAACAACAACAATTTCTTTGGGTCCAGTGATAGTGAATTCCACCCATCTTCTTTCTGCATCGCTCAATATTTTGCCCATAGAATTCTTCAATATTGCAAATGAAGACTTGATTTTTTTCTTCAGTTCTTTCAGCTTGAGAAATGCTGAGCATGTTCTTCCCTGTTGGTTTTCTAACTCCAAGTTCTTGTGAGAAGATGCATGAAAATAGTGACAGCACAGAGAATGGAGCAAAAAGCTTGGCTGAAGTATGGTAATCAGGAACGACTTCACCTTTGACCTGTCCTTCAGTCTGTGTGGAAGGAAGAGAAGCTATGTAACCCTAGGCAAAGGGACACCCCAAGGACAAACACTCGAAGGTGTCAGTGGACATTGCGAGTTGTTTATTGTGGATAGAATGATGTTTTGAACAGCAGTGTCACAAGAAAACCAGGGAGAGTGTCCCAAGAATTAGATTAGGAGCCACTGGGCTGATTATCACTAGATTGGCAGTTCAAGCCCACCAGCCTTTCTGCAGAAGATGTCTGCTCCTGCAAAGACTTATGGTCTCAGAAACCCAATATAGGGTCACTATGAGTCATAATCAGCTCCCTGACAATGAGTTTGGTTTTGGGATAAATGGTTGAAGAGCCAAAATGAGTAAGTATTTTTATTCTAAAACACAGTATTAAAACCTGTTTAAGGGACTGTCCACAGAGTCTCTTTGGGCCATATGTCCACAGTAGATTTTCTTGAGAAGGTGACAGTTGGTATGAGAGTAAAGTCCTGGGAACTTGGTATCCAAATGGACATGGATGGTGCCTTGGAGGCCTGTGGGCAATGGTGGCATAAGGTAGAGAGGACAGTCTCCAGTTCTTCATGTTCTTTCTTCCACCTTGTCCCCTCCCTCAACCTCCATCCCAAAAGTCTTTTGAGAACTTTGGCCACACTCCTAAATAGAGGAGGAGGTCTGAAGAGCAATGGAGACAAGGTTAGTACTGAATTGGGCTACCCTTGAGTGACATTGGAATTGAGCTGGTTCCTTCACACTGGCTCAAATCCTTAGAACAATGGCAGAACAAATCTAGAATTGACTGAAAACTCACAGATGGGGAATTCTGGTGCTGAATGAATCCAATAAAGTCACAATTCTATGAGGGACAAAAAGCAGCTGATGAAATGGTAGAAATATTTTCTACGGAAAGGGCTTCAAGAACCAGGTTCTGAAAGACTCCCCCATGCCCCCGAATGAAAACTTGAGGGCTGCATATGAGTCTAGCCCCTAAAGCAGGAAGAGATGACTGGGTACCAACCATAGCTGAGCCCCAGTTTCTTTGTCTATGATGTAGCCTCTCGCAGGACTGGATTAATGGGAGGACTGGTGTACTTGGTGGTGCTAATAGTTAACACGTGCCATTGCTAACTGAAAAGTTAGAGGTTTGAATGTATCCTTATACGAAAGGCTTAGAGTTCTACTTCTGAAAAGTCAGTCATTGAAAACTCTGAGGAGCATGGTTCTACTCCGACACAGACTAGGTTATCATGAGTTGGAGTCTGTTGTTGTTGTTAAGTGCCGTCGAGTCGGTTCCGACCCATAGCGACCCTGTACAGGGTTTCCGAGGGTGTAAATCTTTATGGGAGTAGAAAGCCTCATCTTTCTTGTGGGGAGCGGCTGGTAGTTTCGAACCGCTGACCTTAAGGTTCGCAGCCCGATTCGTAACCACTACGCTACCAGAGCTCCTACTTGACAGCAAATGATTTACTTTTAATTTTTAATGAGGATTAAAATGTGCCTTAGCACAGGCTTGCCCACAGAGGGTGCTCAAATCTTCAGCTCTTTCCCATTGGTCAAAGACGCAGAGATCTTGGCTACCCAATACATCTTCTGAACTTCAGGTTTAGGGAGTGACAGGAGATCTGATCCTCCCATCTTCAGAGTGAAATCCAAGATGGCAGCTCATGGCTAACAGTGAGGGCACATCCCTCTTAACATGGCGGTGCCTCAGAAGGGGTTATCCGTATTCCAAGAGAAACCTTAGCATTCATGAAGATGTCTCAGAGGGCTTTCCCATTGGTGGAGAAGTGTGAGGATGAAGGAGGGTAGAAAATGGGAGGGACCTCAGGCTCTCCACTTCTACTTTATCCAGCAGCTTTCTGTGCCTGTGACTTCAGGGATTGCATTATCTTAAATAGTCACATGATAGTGGTTGAGACTGCCAGTAGATTGCTATAATTTACCATCTTCAGTGTCTCCTGCTCCTTCTCCAAGTTGTCTGGTGAAATTCCCCAGGGGTGGTGCCTTGGTGTTGGTTCCACTCACTGAGTCTTCTCTCTGCAGCCTTCATTGCTGAAGCCAAATGAGGTCATCACTAACCATTCTCATTAATTCTTGGGAGCAGTCACCTGATCTTTCTGGCTTTAGGAGAGGGTCTTCCTTCCTTCGCTTTTCCCTCAAGTGTGGGTAGAGCCTCCATGACTTCCTGGAGGCCATATCATTCAGGCATTACTGGACATTTGGGGGTACTAAAACCAATACCCCTCACAGGAGCCCCAGGGTAACTTAACAGCACACAGAAGAGGCGTCTCATGGAGTTCAGGTGTAAGCTGCTCTCAGGATCTCTTCCAGTGTGGCTTCCTTGTCTATCTGTTAGTCTGTCTCCATTAATAGACTCTCATCACCCCACCACATTAGGGCTACTGTCTGCACCTCTTGGTGTTTATGCAGGGAGGGCCTTAGAGATGAGGGTTCCTCTCATCCCAGGCAAAGTTGTACCTCCCCAGTCCCTTCTCCCATGACTGACCACGATAATATCTACTCCCCTCGTATAGTAAACTCTCACAGGGAAATGAACTCATCTGTGGTTCCCGGTGGGGGCGGGGGGCGGAATGGAGTGCCATCAGAGCACAGTGTATCCATCATTCCTTCATTCTGTCTAGGAGTCAAGACTCTTTTTATCTGCAAGAAGGGATCTTCATCCCAACAATTTCCACCCATGTTCTATGGTGAATGCAGTGAGGGGATACTAGTCCTGTATGATCTTTATTCAGAACCTAATGTATTGTAAGACCTAGAAGAGGTTGAAGAGGAAAATAATTTTCCTGCAAGAAAGGTAGCCAAATCAACACACACGTCTAAAAGACACACGTCATGTATGCATGGAATGTAGCTCATGGATCATCCATGTGGCCTCCATACAAAAGGCACATACTTGCTTTGTATTTGCATAACTAATTAGGTCTATTCTAATTCCCCTACCCCCTACTTCCAGAGTATCAGGGAAGGCCAAAAACTGCTTATGTTTCTGAAATACCATTTTCTGATGATAAATTTTTGAGGGTCCACCCCAGCCTGGATACCCTGTCACATTTTTACATATTTAGTTGGATACTTTCTAAATAACATTTGAAAGAATTTTTCTTCTGGTGTTTTTTGTTTTTGTTTTTAAGGTTTTAAACCACTCCTCTGGGCTAGAAATGGGCAAACTGTGGTCCATGGGCCAAATCTGGTCCGATGCCTATTTTCTTCTCAGATGCATCTGAAGTGCCTAGGCCAGCCTCCAGCATACAGTAAACACTGTATAAATATTTGTTGAGTGAATGAATGGGTGGAGTAAGTTTGGGAGTCAGTGGGCATGTAGAGACATGAAATTGAATGTGATCCGCTAGGGAAGGTGCAAGGACAAAAGAAAGAAGTTCAAGCTTGAATCCTTGGAGCATCCCAACTATTAGAGACAGAAGATATGGCGTAGTCACAAAAGGGCAAGGGAAGGAGGGGAACTGCTTGAGGGATTGGACCTGGTCTGGAATCCTTTATGATGGAGAAAGGGAAAAACCATCAAATGCTGCTCCCCAAGAGCGGGTCGCTGACTCTAGCAAATAGAAGTGAACCATGACACTGTGAAGGGCTGTGTCAGTAGAATGTTGAACTGGAATGGGTTGAGGAGATGATGGGAGGAAGTGAAGATGCCTTTTCAGGGAGCTTTGCTGTAAAGGAGAGAAAAGAAGAGGGAGTCAGGATGAGTGACTCAGGGTTCAGAAGTTTTCTTTTTGCTTCTTGGGACCGAAGTTATTACAACATGTGGTTCACTCGCTCCTGGGGTGGTCTACTAGATGGCATTCATGGGTGATGATGGAGAGGGAGGAAAGAGTCTGGAATGAGATTTGTGGCATGGCTAGAGGAAATGGGATTTAGAGGCTGGTGGACAGAGGTGTCTCAAGGACATCTGATGCCAGGCTCTGGGCCAGGAGACTGGTCCAGTGTGCACTCACAGAGAGTGGGGGTTTGCAAATCTAGAAGAGGAGCAAGAAGAGGAGCATTTGGTGGTCTCTGGCTGTCTGCAGACCACCTTCATGCCTTTGTGTTAGCCCTCTGTCCTGTGGATCCAATGTTTGTCATCACCATTTTGGGACAAGTGGCCTAGAGAGATAAAATGACTTGTTCTGAGACAGAGCTCATGAAAGGCAGAAGTGGTCTAAATTCAGTTCTGCCCAGGTCCAAGTCTGAGACCCTGCTGCCTCTAGCATCTGGTCTGTATTAGGGGTCAGTGTTGGGTGTAGCCAAGTCTGCAGTTGTAGGGATCCTCCTCAGTGGCTGACAGCACTTCCTGTGGATTAGGGCTTCTTGGTAGAAAGCAAGAGCATCTTTCAGGGAGCACAAGGTGGCTTGAAACCCAGATCCCTGGGGACGAGGAGTCACTGCTCATGCTGTGGAGAGAGAAGATGGAAAGTCCCTTGGGACTGGATGCAAATGCCTGGTTCATCATCATCCTTGGAGCCTGCCCCAGATAATGATAGGACCACTCACTTAAAAAAAAAATGTTTTATTGTGAATTATGTGATCGTTTCATGGTAGAACATTAGCTTTACATTCATCCTATTGTATATCGTTTCATTGCAATGGTTACAATCCCATCCATTCATCATCAACCAACCAAAAGGTATACTCTACAAGCCTGCCCACGCCCCCAATCGTCAGCACACAGCCCCTCTCCTTCTCTGGGTCTAGAGTCCCCGGCCTTTTGATCTCTCCACGTCATCTTCTCTGCATCCGTCTCTGGCGTCACTGCTTCTCTGGGTAGGGTCTCACACTCCACTCTTCTCCCTTGACGGTTCCAGAGACCTCCGCTCCTGGACTGCAAAATCAATCACTCCCCTCCTTGCTACAAAATGTACCTTTACATTTCCAACCCTCCCAGTCAGTCCTGATAACAATTATTCACCATTGTACCACAGGGGACCTATCCCCATCTCCTTTCTTTAGCCCCGCCCAGACAGATTGGATACTACCCAGTGGAGATTCTACCTTCCTCCGTACCCTCTGGATCTAGGCTCCCTCTTGAAAGCTTGTAAGCTAGTCACTTCTTGCCTTTGTAGCCTCCCACCCCCACCCCATTTTGGGTAGCCAATGTCCAAGTTGCCCATCCCTGTCTACTCTGTGTATGGAGGGGGTGGGAATGATCCTCGCTGTAGATTCCTTCCCTCTTTTGAGCTACTGCATCCATAGGTGTAGGTCAAGTTCATTAAATTGTATCAGCTTACTCTTTTTTCCCTCTTCTTTCTTCTTCTAGTTGAGCTCTGATCATCCAGTCATTGAAGCCAAGTCAAGTGGTTATTATCTGCAAGTGTGGGTGTTCTTATGCATATGCCCTCTCTTCTTATCAGCTGGATGCTTCACTCTAGTCCTCTGTGGCTATGTCACTAACTCTGGGCCCAAGAGTCCCCAGGTCTTGCCACACTGCTGGCTGACCAGGTCTCCACCCGGGTTCTCAGGAGTCTATTGAACATTGTAGGGCTTAGCTCGCAGTTTCATTGCTGCTTTTCCCTCACTTCCCCTTATCGGTGACCAATATGGTCACCATTCAGAGCGTGTATTCCCATTGAGTCTTAGTCTTGGAAGGGGGTTTGCCCTGAGGGGACCCAACCACTTGCCTTGATGTCTCCTGGGTGAGCAACTTGTTTGTTCTTGTAGTAATCAGTCGGTCTGCCTACATTGTTTCGTATTTTTCCTGTCGGTCTTTCTTTCAAGAAGTATCTTCTGTTCTTCTAGCTGCTCCAGCTGCTTGTCCTTTCAAGTGGATATTTCCCACCTCAGAAGATTCTGTATGCGGGTCAGGATTCTACCTATGGTATTATGCAATGCAGAGGCTCCACTGGAAGCCTCCTTCACTGGGCACATTGTAGCCCATTTTAGGTATTCCAATCAATTTAGGCAGAAGACAGACTTACAAGCTTTCTATGGTGATATTTCTGGCTATTCCTTTCCCCATCAAGTGTCTATTTTACAATGGTATGCCAGGGAAACCAAGATTCAAATGACAGCCAAGCATCTTAACATTATTTCCCCCCTTTCCCTATTCCAACCATGTCTCAATCCCTGTGTCCCAGGGCCCTGTTGTTCCAAGGTTGTGCATACATCATTATTTTACCTCTGTCCCACTTAGCCCATGCAAACCTACCTAATTGCTTTCCCATCTGCTTTGTTCTTCCATTCTCCTTCCCCTTCTTGTGTATTCCCTCCTCCCTAGCACCCAAACTATCCTGTGTCTATTCCCTGCCCTGTTCTCCACCTTCCCCTCCCCCCTCACATCTCGGTAACCTGCAAATTCCTCCGCCCCCTTTAGTATGGATTCTTTTTTTTTAGTCTTTTACAGTAGTGGTCCTATGCAGTATTTCTCCTTTTGTGACTGACTGATTTCACTCAACATAATGTTCTCAAGGTTCATCCATGCTATGCAGTGGCTTGCAGCTTCCTTGTTATTCTTCAAGGTATTCCATTGTGTGTGTACCACAGTTTGTTTATCCATTCTTCAATTGATGGGCACTTTGGCCATCTCCATCTTTTTGCTATTGTAAATAGTGCTGCTATGAACATTGGTGTGCATATATCTACTCATGTTATGGCTCGTATTTCCTGTGGGTAAATACCAAGTAGAGGAATTGCTGGATCATAAGGTATTTCTATTTCCAACCTTCTGAGGAAACGCCATATTGCTTTCCCAAGAGGTTGAACCATTTTGTGATCCTACCAGCAATACAGGAGCATCCCAGTCTCTCCACATCCTCACCAGCATTTATTGTCCCCTACTTTTTTTAACTTTGCTGTACTGACCACTCACTTTTGTCACTTTCAACTCCTCAGAACTGTAAACGTGCACATGCCCAAGATGACCTTCACTGGTACCTACAAACTAAAGAAGGCACTTTCCCATCTGGGTATCTCCAAAATCTTTGAGGGGCACGGCGACCTCACCAGAATCTCCCCTTACCGCAGCCTGAAGGTGGGCGAGGTAAGCCTGCTGGAGACAGAGGGAGCCTCATGCTGGGTGGAATGCTCCCTGGGGTGGAACCAGCTGACATCAGGCTGTGTGAGCCGGGCCCATCCATGAGCTGTGCTCAGATCCCAGCTCTGCCCTTGCCCAGTATGTGAACATGAATGAATAACATAAGCTCGCCAAGCCTCATGTCAGCCTCTTGCTGCTAGCTTGAAAGTCAATTGAATGCAACAAACATTCAGCAAGCACTTACTGTAGGCCAAAAAGGATCCCTGGTGGAGCCGTGGGCTAAGTGTTGGGATGCTAACCAGAGTTAATGGTTCGAAGCCATCAGCTGCTCCTCAGGAGAAAGATGAGGCTGTCAGTTCCTGTGAACATTTACAGCTTCAGAAACCCTAAGGAGCAGCCCTATAGGGTCGATCAGTTAGAATTGACTTGATGGCAGTGGCGTTGATGGTTTGGGACAGGTTAACAAGAACCACAGGTGTTACAGCAGCTGAAGTGTGAAACTGCTCATTGACCGGGTACCAGTTTGAACACATCAGCAACTCTCCAGGAGAAAGATGATGCCATCTGCTTTTTATAAAGATGACTGCCCTGGGACCTTCTAGGTTCTATGTCCTATAGGTTCTATGAGTCAGAATCGACTTGGCAGCCATGAGTTTAGGTGTTTTCGTTGTAGAAACAACAGATGCCTGGAAGTGGCCTAAATCTGACCAAGAACTGCTCTCCAAGACCTCACAGGATTGTTAGGAATAACTGGTAAACATGCTCTACATGAAGAATGGACAGGCAAGTAGAGTGTCTCCTGGTCTTGAGGAAGGGTGAGCCCTTGCCCATTTGGGACAAACAGAGGACCACATTGAGCAGACAAAATCCAGTATGCCCAGTTCAGTTTGAATTCCCAGTCAACGATGAGTAATTGTGTAATATAAGTATTGCATGGGCTATATATTGCCTGGGACACTAAAATAAATGGCTGTTCGTCTGAAATCCAAATGGACAGCTTGTATTTTATCTAGCAACCCTACTTTAAGAGGGCATTGACGGAGACAGCATTCAATGGGCGAGGAAGGATCTTCCAGAAGAAGAAACAACCTGGCCGAAGTTGGGGGTGGGGAGGTGGGTGAAGGGGCATACAGGAGGGACGTGTCTCTTGATCAGTGGTGGAAGTAGAGAGAGATGCTCAGGTCTACCTGGGAGGGACCAGGTAGTAAGCTGGGCAGGCTGCCCTGAATCTGTAGGCACTGCAGAGCCACCAAAGGTGTTGGAGCAGGTGAGGGCTATGTGAGCAGGTGTGTGGAATGTATAGCAATGAATGGGTGAGAGTCCCAGCCTCGGTGGCAGTAGGATGCTCTGAAAAGTACTTCCAATTCGAACGTGACTCATTCATCATTCATCCAACTCATGCTGGGCACCTCCTGTGAGCCAGACTCTTGCTGGGGACACAGAGAAGCAGTCCCTCCACCCGTGTGGTCACTGAAGCAGTAGAGGCAGCCCCAGGAGAGTCCACAGGGGATCCCAAGCAGGGAAAGCCTAGGGCGGGAAGGACAAGGTCTGAGCTGAAATGTGGAGATGCCTATGAGCTGCTACGGTGATGGACCTAACCATTCATTTGGCACGGACTCTAGTAGACATTGTGCAAATACAGTTCATCAACCACCCCTTACTGGATGAGAGAGAGAGGACTAGGAGGCAGGCTCATCCACAGTCACAAGTATGGGATTCAGACCCAGGGCTGCCAGCCTCTGTGGTCTCCCTGGGTATTAAAGGGTTAAACACCTGCATCATGTTTCCCTGGGCTGGGGTGGGTTGTTGTTGTTACTTTTGTTGTTGAGTGCCGTTGTATAGCCACCCTGTGTAGGGTTTTCAAGGAGCGGCTGGTGAGCTTGAACTGCCAACCTTGAGGGTCAAACCAACCTTGTAGTCCAGTGCATTAACCTACAGTGACACGCCAGGACTCCGGGGGGAGGGGGAGGGGGGATGCTAGTCAAGTTACTATTGTGTGGGCCACTCTGGCCACAGCCTCTGTCCCCTGGCTTTCTTGTCGGCCTCTGGAGCAGCTCAGGTCCCTGAGGGTCTTAGTCAGCACTGACCGCCACCCCCATCGGTTCCCACAGGCAGTCCACAAGGCGAAGCTGAAGATGGACGAGAAAGGCACAGAGGGGGCCGCGGGCTCCGGAGCACAGACGCTACCCATGGAGAAGCCGGCAGAGTTCAAGTTAAACAGACCCTTTCTGATGATGATCTACGATGAGACTACAGCTTCCACGCTCTTCTTGGGGAAGGTTGTCAACCCTAGAGGGACATAGGGGTCCATTCCAGCTTGCTGAAGACCTCTACCGTGACCTGAAGCCGAAAACATCCACCTCCCCAGGATTGGAGCCACATCTACGACGTCTCCCAAGGCCCCAGCCCAGACAAGTGGTACCACCTACCTCTACAAGTCCTCTGGAAGTTTCCTCTCCCCTGGGTAGTTAGATGGGTGTGACCTAATAAATGCTCTCACAGGCTGGCTGTTGGTGGATAAAGTGGAGAAACTGTGATTATCTGAGGTTTGGAACCAGAGTGGCCTAGGTACAAATGCTATAAGCGAGGTGTCTTTGGGAATAGCACAGACCCTCTTGGAACCTCCACTTCCCCTGTTTCTGAAATGGGGATCCTGACACCCACCTCTGAGCTGTGAGGCACCTCTCACAATGGGCCTTAGCCCCCATTGGTGAGTTCTTGGTCTTTGGTCTATGAGCCATATAGATCCCCCTCCTCACTGAGTCCACATTGTTGTTGTTACTTTTGTTGTAGAGTGCCGTTGTATAGCAACCCTGTGTAGGGTTTTCAAGGAGCAGCTGGTAGGCTTGATCTGCCAACCTTGAGGGTCAAACTGACCTTGTAGTCCAGTGCATTAACCTACAGCGTAGTGGGCTCAGTCAAGCCCCCAGTGAGGTGATGAAGAAACAGGGAGGCATTGGTCTAACCCTTGGTTAGCAGCTGGAATTCAAGGCCAAGTTTGTCTTACTCCAGAGCCCCTGCTTAGGGCACATAAAGGAATTGGGGGTTCCCGTTCTCATCGCCAAAGGCAGGCTCGCCCTTCGAACTTATTAACAAGTTTAGGGGTTCTGCTGAGGAGCCCCAGAAAATAGTATTGCAGGGTCTGCGTGTGACCACTAGGGGGAACCACATGCTCACAGAGGCTGCAGGACCTTTGCCTTTTGCTGTGAATTCCCAAGGATGGGTGTGTTTGGAGGGAGGGAACCCTACCCAGCCTGGTGGAAAGAAGTCTGATTGGCACCAATGGTCATCCCCCCGCGTGTGCCCAGTAGCTCACAGCTCACTATGTGGTGTGTTTGGACGAGGACATTGAAGCTTGGAGAGGGGACATGACGTCTCACGCTGGTCCCCTGAGGAACCAGAGGCAGGACAGCTTTGTGGTTGGTTTGGGGCAGGAGGGTGGAGCTACACACCAAACTGAGGTAGGAAACCAGGGAGTCCTCCAGAGAGTGGGAGTCTGCGCCTTCCCAGCACAGCCAGGGCCCTGGAGACAGAGTGGGAGCGCCCAGTCTAGAAAAGGCCGAATGGAGAGGAGCTATGGTCTCTTATTGGGGGAAGTGCTGAGGTCCCCCGGGAGGGCTGGAGGAACACTGAAGAGCCTAAGCAGACTCCTCAGATCCGGGAAGTCCCTGTCCTGGGCCCGGGGCCACAGCCTGGGACAAAAGTCTGAACATTTGGCCAAGGAGCTTTGCTGCCATCCCCACTTTCCCCACACCAGCCTGAAGGGGTGGGACTGGGGAGAGCCCATCTGGACACTTAGGAGTCATCTACTGAAATCTGTCATCTGCAACCTGTAACATTGAGGCATGGAACAACCAGGTAAATCCTTTAGAAGCTGAGCTGTGGGCCTCAAAGCCTCAACCCCTTCATCTCTTTATGTATTTGCTGGGAGTGTATTCGATTCCTTGAGTTGCTATAATCAGTTACCACACACGGGGTGGCTTAAGACAACAGGAATGGATAATCTCACAGTACTGGAGACCGGAAGTCTGAATTCAAGATGTCAGCAGAGCCCTGCTCTCTCTGAAGGCTGGGGGAAAGGAATCCTTCTTGCTTCATGCTACTTGGTCGTCAGCAATCCTTGGCATCCTTGGTTTGTAGATACACTCCAATGTGCTTCTGTCTTCACACAGTCTTCTCCAGGATGTGTCTGTCTGAATTTCCCTCTTTTTATAAGGAAGGGCACCAATCCATGAATTATGGCCCACCCAAATCCAACCTCACCTTAATTGATGACATCTGCAAAGACCCTATTTTCTATTAAGGTCATAGTCACAGGTAACAATGGTGAAAACTAACATAATTGGGGGTGGGGGACCCAGTTGAACACGTAGCAGGGGGTTAAGGAATCTGAGAATTACATGAGCTCATGGAGCCATGTTCAGCTCATAGGAGGCGTTCAACAGAGAAAGACATTATTATGGTCTTCCCCCACCCTCACCTGTGCCTCTGAGCTGTTTTCTAAATAGCAAAACTCCATACATTCCCTATGATTGGAAAGTCCTCCTCCTGCCAGATAAATTCCTTTTGTTGTTGTTAAGTGCCATGGAGTCAGTTCCGACTCATTTTGACCCAGTATAGGGTTTCTCAGGGACAACTGGTAAGTTTGAACAGCTGACCTGTGATTCAAACTGACCTTGCAATCCTGCACTTAGCACTTATCTTACAGAGCCACAACTATTGCCCAGTGGTGTTTGACCTCCTTGTGAATTTTACTACCTTCCCGGCATCTTCCTAGTAACCCTCCAATGAACACTTACCTCTTTACATGGGATGGCTCGGGTATGTATGAATTTTCCCTCCACCCCTATTTGGGCTGCAACTAAGTGAACAAGGACTTATGAGATACCAACCAACCCCTAGACTGGTTGCTGATCCTTCATGAAGTTCCTATCCAGTGGAGGAAGCAATCATGAATCAAGTAACTGCATAGATGCATGTGGACCTGCAAGGGGCAGTGAAGGACAATGACAGGTGTTTGGAGGGTCTGACCCAGTCTGGGAGCTCAGGGAAGGCTTCTATGGGGACATGGCATTTGGTGGAGAGCTCTGAACGCTGAGGAACCCTCTCATTTTGGGTTTGTAGCTGTTACTTAAAACCACATACAGGTGTGTTTTTCCCAATATCATGAGTGACTTCTAAAAATGGGTCTTTCCAATAGGATTGACCATAAACTATAGGTCTTCATTCATCTTCCACTAACTGATGATATTTTAATATGTTTTCAGTATCTTTTCTACATAACTTTCTACTGACAGACTTTCATTGTTCTCTACAGAAATAAAATCTGTTGTGAAAAATAAAAGAGTGGACGAGACTGAGGGGGAAGGGGAGACACGGGGAAACCAAGTAGAGGGGACAAGATGTGCAAAGGCCCTGAGGTGGGACGGTGGCATGGAAGGAACTGAAATAAGAGTTGTGTGGCCAGAGCAACAAAATTAAGCAGGAGGGGTGGGAGGTGAGGCAGGCTAGAGAGGTAGGTTGAGGTCTCATGTTTGTCTTTAGCTAAAGAGCCAGTGTGAATGCATATTATATTGGAGAGTGATGTAGGCAAACTCATGTGCTCTAAGTGTCCCTCTGGCTGCAGTCCAGGTGTGCCGTTCCCTAGTGTCTAGACCACAGAACACATGTGCTTGCTGAAAAGGAAGACCCCTTGTCTCAGACATGGCCATTCTCTCCAAAGCTCACTTCTTCCCAGGGAAGGAAGGCCATGTGCCTCAGACTGGCAGGCCTGCGCCCCCTCTTGGCCCTCCTCCTCCCTTGGACCCTCCCATCTGCCCGGAAGTTCCCTTTGTCCCCATTCTCCCCCATATCTACCACTTCCCTTCAGAGAAAGGTCAGCTCCTTTTCCTAAGAAGCCTTGCCCAGGCCATGTTGATGGTGCAATGAATCAATGAAAGGAATTGACGCAACATTGACTATCATGAGCCCAACTCTACACACTTACCAAGAAACCCCTCAAGTTATTGTCACCATTCCATTTTATGGATGAGAAAACTGAGGCTCAAGAAGACTTGCCCAAGGTCCTGAAGCTAGAAACCTCCAGGCCTATGACTAAATGTAAGTCCTCTAAACATCTTTGATTATCATTAGCCCATCCATCCATCTAGTATTCTAACAAATATTTATTGAGTGCCCCCTCTTTGCCAGGAGGGACTTAGAGGATTGAGATACATCATTGAACAGAACCTAAACGGATCCTTGTCTTTGTGGCAATTGGTTATAAAGAGGGAGGAGTCCTGTTGTGGCGCTGTGGGTTAATGAGCTGGACTGCAAAGTCGGTTTTATCAGCAAGGTCGGCAGTTCAAATTTAGCAGCCACTCCTCAGAAACCCTATACAGGGTCACTATGGGTCAGAACCAACTCGCTGGCCCTTAACAACAACAACAACATAAAGAGAGAGGTGGGCAATAAACAGTGTGATTAATAGACAAGAACATTAAGTGGCACCGGTAAGAATAATTTCAGGTCCAGTGGTGCCAATAGTACTGTGGAAGAGCTGGTCCTTCTTAGGGTGGTCAAGGTCAGCCTCGCTGAGAAGGTGACACTCAACACTGGAGAACAGATTGAGAAATGCAGTGTCCATGGTGTCTGTTGCACAGACTGCCTCTTGGATCCTTACGGCTTGACAGGTGCTCATGTATAAGTGCCCTGGACAAATAGTCAAGGGGTCCCCTAACCAAAAA